CAACATTGATTGTTCGGATCACTGGTATCTAAGTCTTCCGTTGTGCTATCTTATACTTCGTATTGAAAGGTCGGTTCTTGTTCTGGTCTGCACGTTATAGTATGCAACATTGCTCTTCCTGTTACCTACATGAGATGCATGTCTGACAATGTTGTCCTGACAGGAGTCCTTTGGGACATCCGTTGAAAACGGAATGATACAGAGAAGATTAGCATGGCCCCTGCGCAAATGGTAAGGGGAAAAAAAAAGAGATCGACAGGATTTTGCGCATCTCAGAAGTCCCAGTTCCAGTCCCAGTTCCAAGGGCTCCATGTAACATAGTCCCAACCGGTAGGAGTCCTACGCCCGTCTGTAGAGTAGGGAGTAGGCCCGATAGGTCTGTCCGAAGTAAGCCGGTAGGGTAGCACTCCGTGTGGCCCAGTTTTGTAATTTGTCGGTAGGTGTCAGTCTGTCAGTTCAAAAGCATCTCGGAGCCACAAAAGCCAGTGAACATTCAGGAAACGTCGAAAACAGATTATAGCCAGCAGGCAAAGGGGTACCGATCCGGAAAGAACCAGATCGGGAACTGTAGCAAGTACATAAGGCCGACATCGGCAGAACATCAACACATGTTTTCATTCGTGCCTGCCGCAGAAACGCTATTGCGGTCTTGTCCGGAAAGCGGCGAGTCAGGCTGAGAGACAGAGCAGTGTAGTCGACAGTGCCCGGCAGCATAGCTGATAAAAAAAGAGAGTGAAGCTGCAGCCTTGTGAGGGAAGCAAAAAGTGAGGGTGAGAGACAGAGCAGTAAAGACCACAGTGCCCAGTGCCATAGCCCATAGAAAGAGAGTGTGAGAGAGGCCTGTGAAACTAGAGTAGAGTAGCAGACGATAGAGAGAAAGAATTACATCAGTATGAACTCGGCAGTCATAGGAGCAAGTGTGTGCATACAGGTGACTTGTTGAATAAGACTTGAACTAAGTGCTCTCAGCTTGTGCCAGTGTGCTCTCTTCTGTGCAAAGGTTGGATGCGATGAAGAGTGAGTCGTGAGTGTGAAGTCGCGTGTGAAGCGTGGGATCATTGCATAATCAACAATTGCAGCAAAAACTCATGAGAGCACTTGCAAAGACAACATCCGAAAGGTCAGCGATCCACAACCCTCCATGTGCAGTCCAAGAGAGGCGACCAAGGAAGGACAAAATCAACAGATACCAGCTCAACCACTCACCAAATCTGAAACATATTGAAAACTTCTTGTCTGCAATCCATCTCCATAGACCGTCATCGGTTCCTTCCGCAGGGCCTGTCCAAGAAGGCGGGCACAAAAGTTGCGTTAGCAGACAGATGGAGCACAACTGCAGACAACAGATCATCCTATTGTCACACCACTAAAAGACGGGGCTCTTACAAGGCGAGGCCATCAACCCTGACCCACAATGTGAGCATAAGCTGCATAACATCATTGGCAAGCAAACACCAGCATCATTTGCATCGAGCATTTCTGCTAACAAAAATAGTTCCAATGAGCAAAAAATTATCAATTAAAAATTTTCAGCTATGCTACCAGAGTGACCCGAGACCACTTGCCCGACCGGGCCAAAAAATATAATATATACATATATATCGTCACAAACAGAACTGCCCGGTAAACCATAGGCAGAGAGAGAGAAGAGGACAACAAACGAGGGGCTGTGACAAACTGTTTCGTCGGAGTTTCACCGACTCATCAGGAGGCTGAACCCTCAACAGTCTGCAGAATCCCCTCACTGATTACACTGTAAATGATAACCTACCTTAACCAAAATCAAAGTAGACTATCACTCACCCACAGCAGATGGATACATTGTATTTATTTAATTTTTATTTTTCATTTGGTAAAGAATTTCGATGTGACCCTGAGGCAAAAGCTGTTCAGTTTATTTTTTTTTATTTTTTTTTATTTTTTTTTGCTAGGACCTCCTCTCGTCCTTGCACAGCCGGCCCGCCCGGGAAAATAGGGTGACCCAGGCGGCCCGGCTGGTAGCCTAGATTTTCAGGATTTTTCCTTCATAGAGGATAAGAGACACACCAGACAGTACCACGTTATCCTGTTGTTGCCCAAGAATTGGAGAAGGGATGCTGCTCAAGCCTGATATCTTCACTTCCCGATAGGCACGAAACACTATCATGCATCTAAAAGTGTGTCCAGCAGTTCGTCTTCTCGAAGCACTACAGCCTCAGCCTGGTATTCCGCATTATTCGTTATGTTGCGATGAATCTTGTAGACCATCCTCACGGAGGAGGAAGAGAAGGACATACAAGAGCCGGAAGGTGCTTTTCTCCTTTGGGAAAACCAACCCCTGAGATATCAAGAAGCGTGGCTTGTAACCTGTGACCACACCTACGTGCACATCTCGGTCCTCCCCGTTTCTTCTTTGTAGCTGAGGGTTTCCGCTTCACAAGAGAAGACTATACTGACTGACTACGGTCTTCACCCGAATAGAATGCCCGGTCATTATCGATGTACCTGAAGAATTAACCAAAATACAGCTATAATGACCGGTTGTTCTGTTCAGGTGAAGACGGTAGGTCCATAAATGTATATGAGCTGAGGGATATACAGTGCAGTTTCACAAGGTTCGTCGATCGTACGAGACATCTCTCAGCCCTTCCTTCTACTGCATTGCAATGGCGCACCCAAACATGACCACAGACTTTGAATATCCTCAGGAGTCAGGACCAGATACATTATTTCAGGTGAAGACCGCAGGTCCATAAATGTATATGAGCTGAGGGATACGGTGCAGTTTCACAAGGTTCATCGGTCGTACGAGACAGCTCTCAGCCCGCCCTTGTACTGCATTGCAATGACGCACCCAAACATGACCACAGACTCTAAATATCCTCAGGAGTCAGGACCAGATAGATTATTTCGATTGCTTGCAAGCAGGCCCTGCCCTCGCATACGCATGGCCTTTGCTATTATGAATTCCATCAGATATATAAAATAAATTTAATAAAAAGCATTCTTTTCAGGGAGTTCGTACACACTACATCACACTGCCCTGGCCGTGTCTCTATACGATGGTGTGGAACAGGACCCTAACTTGCTGCTGCGCATGCAACAGGTAAGAAGAACCGTTGTAAACAAATCCGTCCTCTTAAAGCACCAGTACATGCCAGCTAATGGCCGCAGGCCACTTTCGGAGGCCGCCCACCCGATTCATTTTATCTACGGCGCTCAGCTGCCTAAATTTTCGGAGAGGCTCAAAACAGGTTCTCCAGTTGCCTGGGGCCATGTACTGGGGGTTTAAGACCCCTTTGCAGACAGATTGTACCGGTGCTGCCACTAGGTGTTCCCCTCTCTCATGAAGCCAGGCAGAACTGACAGAAACCCCATGCTCGTTTGACAGAGAGAAACGCAGGCACGCACAAAAGCCTTGAAGACCAGAGTGTGTTTCAGCCTCGCTCCTTCACCTAAAGAGAAAATGAACTACTGCACCGAAAGCAGTGGTGCTTTCAGGTCCACGAGTTTTTTCTTGCTCGTTAGAATCAGATGCTTTTCTATCTCATGACCCCCCCCACAAAGAAAATCACTCACCTTCGGATATGGACCAGTCTTCGCCATGCTTCAGTTCCATAACCGATGCACAGGCCTTCCCGGACTACCGGTTCCGAAAAGCTCACAAGGCCACAAGGGTCCTTGTGAGATATTAACAGACATATATAGACTATTATAGAGTATTATAGACGCAACTGCCATCAAAGATTGGCGGAGCTTTGCAACTCATGGCCCAGAGGGCTCCACTGAAGCTCCCTTTTACAAATGCACTAAGCTACCACATTCCGCTGAATACAGGGCAGAGTCATTGTACCAGTCTCTAGTACACTTTTCTAAGGCCCAAATGGGGCTCGCCATACTGACCCGTGTATCCCACTGAGACAGATATAGGAACAATAGGCAAGTGTTTTTTCTTCAAGACACTAAAGATAGGTGAAGACGGAAACCAATTACCTTGTTCAAGCATAGCACACTGCAAGAGGCGTAAAGCTTACTTCATTGCCAGTTGCGTCGAGCTTGGCCCTATTTTCCATCGAGCTCAACCGTCAGATCGCTTGGACGTACTCGCAGGCAGTCACAATGTTATTGCCTTGGCAATGAAAGGCAGCCTAGGCGGAATCGCCTCGAATGGGTCACAGAAGACATAAAAAAAACAGATATGATGATTGTTCCCCGGAAGGGGAGCAATCAATGCCCGGCGGCCTAAAGGAATAGTTTGAGATCGGTGCAGGCCAAGAGTAAAACAACAAGGCACTAGAGTTAGGTGTAAGGGAAGAGAGAATAAGCTAATGAGGGTAGAACAGAAGACATATAAAACATATGTGATGATTGTTCCCCTGCCCTGTGACCCATAGGAGTAGTTTAAAGCACCAGTACACCACATACAGGCCCGCGGGTGTCAGCACGAAACCCGCACCACTTCGGAGGCCGCCGATTTTTTTTTTCAACGGCACCTCTGAGTTTCGCTTGTGGCGACAAAACTTTCTGCAAAGCTGGGGCCGTGTACTAGCGGTTCAAGATCAACGCAGGCCAAGAGTAAAACAACAAGGCATTGGAGTTAGGAGTAAGGGAAGAGAGAGTAAGTTAACAAGGGTAGAACGGGGGTGAGCAAGGGTAAATCCTCCCTTCAGGAAGCAATCAATGCCACGGCCATAACAGAGGAGGAAAGCGTAGCATCAATTCCATTTGGGAGAAAAAAAAAACATGGGCAGACATTCTCGAGCCGTAATCAAGGAAAGCCTACCATGGGTTCCATTTAGACCCCCAAAAAAAAAAAAAAAAAAAAAAAAAACAGACAACAAACAAACAGATATGCTTGCCCATACCTCTGACTAGAGTTCTCCTAGCACAAGGCCAGAGAGTGGAGGGCAGATATCCTGTGGACCAGCAGATGCGAAACCATATTGGGGCAACAACGGAGGTGGGCGGACATACCAAAGACGTAGATGTGAAACCATACCTGAGCCACAAAGTTGCTGACC